ACTCTATTTATATAATTTAAGTGTGTAAAATGTAATAGAAAAGTAAATGAAACCTATAAAGTGCGAGTTTGACTCTCACACAACAAGAATTTTACACTTAATTTATTATAATTAAGTATTGTGTTTTCTTTAAATTACCTTTTTTTATATCATATTTTATCACATCTAAATAAAATGTACTTACATTTATTTGAGTGAGTGTTTTACCTCACACGACAAAATTGAATTTGTACAACAATCGTTTCTATATTTATTGTAATATATATATTTAATGTTTATATTGCAATATTATAATTATTTTTGTAAATTTATAAATACAAAACCAAAAAGATAAAATAGGGCAGAATAAAAAATCTGATTTTGAAATATTAAAGTTTCGAGTAACCATTTTAAAAACACTTGCAAATATAAAATATTGAGAAAATCTTTTATCAACCTCTTGTTTTTAAATAAAGATGGGTAAATAATTTCTAGTTCTTAAAATATAGCGCTGTGACAGACGTACAAACAAGATCATACTATAAGGGTTCTTTGTACACTTTTGGTAAATAACACTAAAAATGAACATAGTCACACTATATTCATAACTGTGAATGTTCCCAAAGCCAAGCCTGTTTCTAGCGCGGACAAATCATAATAGCCTTGTTAGAGGTTTGGCCTCAAGGATAAAATTTATGAAATCTTTTGGTCAAATGTGAAAGTTGTTTGAATTTGAACTTTGTATTAATTATAATAGTAATTAAATTATTGCGTGAAGCGTCTGGTCCTCAAATTAGGCCATATACCGAACTACTAACAATTATGAGAAATCATACAACAAATATCTGAGGCCCGAGAGGACAACTGAAATCCAAGAATAGAATGCGGTACCGTATTTACACAACATACCTAACCTACATTGTGCCACTGAACTCGTATTTGCGTTATTTTTATTTCAAGTTATTTTTATTTCAGTCACTTTCCGTAATTTGATATGATCAATCATATATTTTATTATTATTGAGAACATTATTCAAAAATAGAAATTGACATACATATCTTGACGTCTAGAAGTCAACATGTTAAGTATTTTTCTTATCAAACATTTATCAATATTTATGATCTCGCATATGGTATAATTTATGGTAATACTATCTCAGCTGGGGTCTAAATTTAGAATTTTCATTAAAAAGTAACAGATCACCAGCATTCCACTACAAGTTTATTTAATTCTTAAGATATTATGACATATAAGCAAGCACGCATTCATTAAACATTTACAAAACCAGGCACTAACCTCAAAAATGGAGCGTTGATTATGTTGATAATTTTAGTTTTATTATCAGAAAACAATAAATTATAAGCCGCGTGGCCCTGGCATAGAATAGGCCTTCCCGTACTGTCCCGTGTGTGTCGTAAGTGGAAACTATGAGAACTTAATGGTTAAGGGATGGACAGCAGCGTCCCTCTTAAAACAACATCGAAGCCTAATTGCGGTTGCCAAGCGTGGCAATTATTGATAAAACCCCTCTTACGGGAATAGTACACAATTAACGGCTGATACAATACAATAGATTATTACGTCCATAATCAACGGATCCATATCAATATCGAGTCAATATCAACTACCGTATATATTATCATAATAAAAAGGTATAGTTAATGAGAAAGACCGCTAAAAGTTTTAGTACCTCTATCAGAATGAAGTGATCCAGCAAGTGTCTTTCACGTTGTATTTTTTTATTATTATTTGCCTTTTAAATGTCATGATATACTTAGCATGATAGAGATCCATTCCGCAGCTACCAGTGAAAAGGTTTTTGTGTTAATTGAAGTTGTACACATTACTTTTTTTTTTTGTTTTATTTTTAAAGGGATTATATTATTAGATATAGCAATATTCTCTATAATTTTTTATGCAATTTAGAATTAACAAAAAAGCCACCTGATGGAAATTGATAACTGTCGTCTAAGTAAATATGCTAAATTTAAAAAAAAAGTACATTATAACCTAGTAGCTTTTATCCGCGACCTTGTCTGCGTGACCATTTTTTGGCTCACTGACCGAGAGAAAAAGTAACCCATAACCGTCTCCAGGGTCACATTTAACTATCACTATGCCAACAATTATCAATCCAGTGGTTTAAGACGTGTAAGCGTTGCAAACAAACAAACTCACTTTCGTATTTATAATATTAGTTCAGGATTATATATTTTTTTAATTTTGGTTGATTACATCAAAAGGCCGGCAGCGCACCTGCAAATTCCTCTGCAGTTGCGGGTGCTCATGGGCAGCGGTAGTCACTTACCATAAGTGTGCCGTATATGTTTGACCCTTGTATTATAAAAAAAAGGAAAAATAAGTTAGTAACATAAACCAAATATCCCTCATGGCCTCACAATGTAATAATAGTTAAACTATTTTAAGCTGGAGTGGATATTCCTCGTCCCATGACGTAAAGTAGACGGCATCAAATTGGTGACATCAGGATGTAGGTGCGAAAGGACGTCTAGATTTTCATCTTAAAACGTGACGACATTTTTGCGTGCCGTGACTCACGCCACAATTGACCCTGTTATGTTAGGTGTATCTGTTTTTTTTTTTTGTATCGACAAAGCATTAGTCATCACTTGCCTCTGGATAACTCACTTGCCTGCTTATCAATGAAGTAATAATACGTAACCATAGCGCTCGCGTCTCGACTCGCGGTGATGACACACAACATGCCAAATTTGCCTACTATTAGTATAGGTACGTAATTTTTAACAAAAATAAAACACCCACTTGTAAGTTCTTAAAACATTTTAAAACTTAATAAAATAGAAATAAAAACGGCATCTATATTAATTTGACAGCGATCTCGCATCTATTAATTACAATTAGGCTAATTATAAGTATAAATTATAACTTGCACATAAATAATGTTAATAAGTATTCACAAATACATTTTAAAATTGGAAATCCACTAAAATGGAAAGCTGTTGATATATTCACACGGGAAAAAGAACAAATGTCGAAAAATCTCAAAATCTATAAATTTGTCAATAGTGTTTACATTCTTGTTTAAACATTAAAATTATTAGATGTGTTGATGACGCCGCATGCCGGCCGGCGTGGCCATGACATCAGCATAGTCCGCGTCAGTGCACGTCATCCGACGCAATTTTTCAACTATACACTAGTTTAATCATCGCAACGTGACACTGTATAGCCAATCAGTGAGCTTTATCTGTGTTAGATCTTATTGTGTAATCAATAAAAACACGTCATCGTTCTATATAAGATGATGATCTTTTACTAAAATAAACCTATTTACTAATTATATGTAAATACATATTATCTTGTTATATATTTCATCATGACATAACATTACAACTAGACATGTGAACACTGCACTAAGCAAAGAGTTATAATGTGTCGACATTAAGTATTCAATATTAGCTTGAACTGAAAACATCATATGAATAATTTTAAAGTATTCGTTAGCATTAATAGATGATATAACCATCTCAATCTTGTATTAAAAACAGTAAACCAAAATGCCTTATAACGCTGTTTAAAACTTTTTTTTTATTCAAATAATTTCAATTTATAAGCATTTTTGGTAGTCACTTTTTATGGTTCTAACACCCATTTCGAAATAAAATTTCAGTTGAGGAGAATGATCAAAAACTTAGCTGTTACTTTAAAAAAATGACGTTCTCTATATAAAACTCTAATCTGTATTATTAATAAACATATAATAAAACTGTAGAAGTCGAATGTCTGTACATTGAAAAAAAAAGCTAAAAACCGAGTCAGGAAGATATTAGAAGTGAAATAGAACACATCCAGATTTTGTCAATTTTTTCCCTTTCTGTTTATGTTTGTCTGTACGGGCTAATCTCCGAAATTGTTTGACCGATTTAAATTAAATTTTGCATGATGATATCTCACATCCCAGGTCAACATTTTAGACACTTAATTTTTAAACATTTAATGACGGAAAATTAAAGAGTTCCCATGGGATAGTTAAAAAAAAGCTATAGTAACTTATACAGCTTAATACACAACCTACTTAAGTAAACATTTTGATTTAAGACAAAGATTGAGAACGACACGTCATTTGTTAATTTTTGGTCCAGTATTCCCAGACATACTAATAGGTAGGTACGTACACCGATACATACTAAACAGGAATAACAAATACCACGCGTACAAAGTCGCGGGTATCAGCTAGTTTACTAATAAACGAATTGTGAATTTAACGATTCAAATGATTTGCAAATCTGTTTTAGCAATTTGCTAATAACAATAATTCAGAAACAGGCTGCCTCTTTAAAGCACGGATGCTATACAGCAGTAGGCGAGCCATTAATATGCGTTGTAGAGCTATAGCGTTCGACACTAGTGCGCGTGAGCAGACTGCCTGATTGATAGCATACTGGACTGGATACTCCCGTGACTCATCCATCGATATTACATTACACCGTCAATGGTTCCGTTGACCCTATTCAACGGGTTCAATACGTGCGACAAATTGTCCTTGTGCTGAATTCAAAGCAGTTGTACTATTCACAGAACAGCAATAAACTGTTAATAAAAGTCATGCCGCTGCAGATTTGCACACATTCAATTATCGTTATGTACTTTAATGTTTTCAGATGGCAATAAAGTTGAATGGCTCCTAATTTTGTCGTAATTCATTTCATTTATCTTTGTATTAATACATGAATATTATTTGTATTTTAATGAAGTTCATTAGAATTAGTAATATAAGATTGTAGTAAAGATACCTCAATAGAAGTAGTCGTAGCGATGACAGCAAAGACACTTACTGTGCTACTTCTAAAGTCTTATGCGTCGACGTATGAACCATTTGTAAAGATGGAGGTTGCGAGTAGGTTGCCGGCCTTTTATAAAACTGTAATCTTATGCAGAAATAAGGAGGTTGTTTATATTTACATAGACGATCATACACAAGACTTCCTAAGAAAGTAAATATACTTATTATTTCTAACATTTTAATGTGTTGTTACAGATACCAGAATTCAATCTCGATGGCAACAGTCTGAAACACAACGGTGGCACCAAAGATATGGCCTTCGTTATGGAGAACCTAAAGAAGGGTGGCTTAGTCTCTCGGCAGAACCAAAGCCTCAATACGCAAGTTACCAGTTCTTCAACTCAACAGGTAAGATATCGCTATTAAAAAGTACAAACAGTAATTTAATATAAGCTCAAACTAGCTTCTGAAATGTTTGGAGTGCTCAATACTTGTAGAACATTCTAGTATCATGCGTGACCCCACTGATTCAAAGTATCTTTATTTAACATTTTCCTAATTTTGAACATAATCTGGGAAATATCTACAAGTACTTGACCCTAAACATTTTTGACGTTAAAAAGCAATAAATTACTAACCATTTTTTAACACTGGTCTATTTCGGAACTGACCTCGATTTATTCATAAAATGGACAGTTAATTTTGAATTCGCCTATCATGAGATACGGCAAAAATAACTAAAATTTAAACTAACATTAACATAATATACAACTAACGTGTAAGTTGCGTAGAATATATAAATTATTTAAACACAATTTAAAATTGTAAGATTTAGTAATTAAGTAGAAGCACAATTTCGAAATCATTACCGATTACGAGAGTGAAATTGATAGTATTCTTTTAAAGAATATTCTAGCAATGAAATTGGACATTTTATCCAAAAAACTTGGGTTGATAATCACCAAAAAAAATTAGAACCTTCCATACGAACAAAACATGTATTTTGTTAGTGTCATTTAAGTAAGGGTACGTACACAATAAGTAGACTAATGCTAAAAGCTCCGAGTTTTGGGCATGAGGTTCAAGGCCATGATTTGTTGCATTTCGCCCACACGTGCAATGATTCAGTCGTTTGATTTGCTTTTATATACAAGAAATATTCCGTGCCAATATATAAGTGAGCAAAATAATGATAAACTGATATAAAATATATCTGTGTTCATTTATTAGTCTATACCCTATAAAATATCATTTGTTTATGATTTAAATGTGAACTCTAAGTTATCTGTACATTGTGTAGGTAATATAAATGTAACAAATATATTGTAACGTTACCTCTAAGTCTGAATATGACTAAAAGTAGATCCATATCGATTGTTGAGTAGTTTACGAACTCATTACTTATGCTAAATTTAAAAAAGCCATGTTATTTTGGTGTTTCTATTTTGTCGTAGCCCTGGCTTTATTTACTTCGGCCGTAGGTGCGCCAAGAAGCGTGACGCCCGCTTTTGCAGACTCTTGTAGCATTGGCACTGAACTACCCAGTACTAGTCTCGATAACGATTGCGAACGACGAAGATGTGTATTATCAGCAATTATTTTTCGCAAATTATTTCATACAAGACCAATAGTACTAAATGTATTCAATTTTATATATGAAATGTAACCAATCTTAATATATATTAAGTTCACGCGTAACACAAATAAATTTTAAAACATTTAGAGAATGCAATTAAATTTAAGAAAATACTCATAAGGACGTATTGTAATTACAGATGGTTTCTAGTACAACATCGAGCAGTGCCACAACAAGCCAACGAGTTCAAAGCTCTTCACAGCGGTTACAACATATGACATCCGAAATGAAAGCAAATTCCATGAAATCGGACCTCTCAGAGCTTAAAAGTTCGATATCTGAGATGAAAAATTTGAGCAACAGTGCAAGAAATTTTGGACCACGGTAAGTCGCACTAACACTAACTTGTGACTATATTACTGCAGTGAGATTATTTGCGGCTATTACTACCACTATTATTACACTGCGTCAACTATCTGACAGTGTTTGTTTTGATAAAAGGTAATCTCTCTGTGAATATTACAAATGTTTCTACCATTAGCCAGTAGTCAGTTAGAGCTGCTCACCTGAGCAACCTTGGCCATCAGCCAATTCCCTCCCGCTGATTCTCCGCTACATGTTTTCAGTACCATGCCGACAAACAAAAGCAACAGTACTGTTTTAGTGCTATTTGCTCAAATATATTGTTTTAATAATTATTAGTGTTTCTTTCGTATTGTAATAGTTTCCTGTGGCACTTTTGCGTCTCCTTTCGACGTTATCACTATTTCTTCTAACGTTTCAGACTAAGGAGTTCAATGGAGAATATCGTTGATCAAGACGAGTTGCCAGATCGGCACTTACCAGATATTAGAGATCTCAGCGAAATGAGTGATATTGGTGACATGAGTGACATTAACGAGCTTCCTGCGGATGGACCTTTAGTGACTTTTCCCGAATCAGACACACCACCTCCCATCAGTGACAAACCCTCTTTACTCTCGGCTAGCACTGCTTCTATTGGTTCCAACAGCACCAATGAATTAAAATACAGTACTGCTCGTGTAACCTCGGCAAGCTCGACACGTGTTGTCGCTGATGGATACAGTGCATCAAGATCAGCAGCGAACAGTGCAAAAATGCGACGTTTGCAGCATGGTAATTTACAATACGCAGAAAGTAGTGCGGCCGGAGCCTCTCATCGGATGTTACAGGCCGAGGGTCTTACTGCAGAACAAAAAGCCGCATACCTTCAGGTATGTAAGAACCTTTTTTTTTTATTATTTTTAGTTAATAAAATCAATAAGAATTAATATCTATTGGTACACGTTTGTCTCTGCCTACCCAATAACAAATTTGGAGTGAAAATAGAGATAAATATTTAAGTATATTAATTGGAAAGTTTTAATGGACGTTAGAAATTGTATCTATAAAAGCTAAGCAAAACTTGGTTTTCGCATATATGAATAGAATCGTTGTCGGAGCCAGAAAGGCGCGCCGAAGGACGCGACCTCGCTCGACAGAGACCGATCGATATTATAGAGCGCCACCTCAACCACGACACCCCCAAATCGCGCCAGTCCCACACAACTTCTTGTCACGATAACATCAAAAATGTGAAAGAAGACGCGAAATCACGCGATATTCACATGTGATTGCAAAAACATTATGGCTGCCCGTTTAGTTGCCTTTGCGGGCAGGATGCTGCGTCGCGGAGGATCTCCGGGGGCGGTGAGCTCATTTATCTACGTGTGCTTATCGCCGCTTCTACCGCTTCTCTCAGTCAGTGCCTGACCGTCGTGCGCGCGAGCACACGCGGAAGTAGTTTATGCGCGTGCGCGCGCGAGTACGCGAATAGTTCACTTTAAATATAGACACGGAATGTCTACGAGTGGGGGGTCGGCCCCGTGGCCGGTCCACCGAGGAGTCCTGTCGCGTTTTTCTCCACATTCGCAAAATCCTTTGGTGAGATTTTTTTCAATCGGAAAAGTTTTAGTCCTTGTGAATAACATAGTTTGTACACAAATTTTAAAATAATTCACTGGAAACCTACAAGTTTTACGTTATTGGCCTATATCCAATAAAGCCAATAGGACGTAATATCTCAGCCATGACGTAGGACAACATTTTTTTGTTAAAAAGTAGTTTTTATTTCTAGATGATCATCGCAAATTCATTCGCATAATGTCTTTGAAACGACGAAGATCAAAAATTAAACTACGTGCCGGTGCTCTTGTTGTAACTATCAAATATTAGTATAATGAATCATAGTGTCAGCGATAACAAGCTCATCTTTTTAGAATATATTTCAGTGTTTAATTTGTTTACACTTTATTAATGTTACAGTATCGCCATCATAAAAGTGTCTGTGCTATCTAATAATAAAGATAGGTAAATTTTGAGGGACGTATATTGCTCGTTTCTATATTCTTCTACTACTCCAATTCCAGGAGCAGCGATCTCTTAAGGCTGGCGAAGTAACAGCACAAGAAGCGAACAATATGTCAGCCTCGAGTTCTCGTCTGCAGACAGAAGCTTTTAGTGCAGAAAAAAAAGCTATGGCCAAGGCGCAAGCACGACAAACAGTAACATCCAGTGGCATGTACAGCCACAAAGAACACATTGCACATTCTAATATGACTATATCCAGCAAAAATATGTCCAAGATCTCATCTCAGGTTAGTGTATTCATATTTTCAGTTTGCTACAATTGAGTTTAATAAATGTACTATTGTACCTACAGTTGAAACGTGATATTGATGCTAATTTGTGAACTTTAGCATGATTGATAATTTCGTAAGTAAATAACATTGTACTGATAAATTTCAGTGTATGAATAAGTTACAGTAATCATATTAATTTAAAATAGTCGTTGGTTTACACGTATACGCATCATGTTTATCAATAACATTCTTAAATGTAGTTTTAGTAAAAACTTGTGGTTACCTTACTTCCTTAATGTCATAAGCAAGGTCATATTTCGTTATTTGCAAAAACAAGTGAGTTGTACCTGGGTATTGATATTTTCTTTTAAAATTCTATGGCGATTAACTTTGACTTTGCCAGTCAATATAATTTAATTTTATATTAGAATGAATAGATTTCATGTATGCGTTCATAGTAAATCATCATCTTCCTACCCTTATCCCAATTATCATTTGGGGTCAGCATAATGTTTTTTTTTTATCCATATTACAAAAAGATTCGGCTTATAGTTTTACGACCGGCCGCCTGGCTGACGTCAACCCTCTTTGGGAATGCATTTGTTGGTGGTTTCCACCACCTACGATATAGAGGAAAGGATTGAGAACAAAAGGCAGGGAACGTTGAAAATGCGTAAAGAAAATTTATAAATAAGAGGAATAATGGACTTATGTAGGAAAGAAAAGTGGGGACGGCACTGCAGTTTCGGAAATGACTGGGACACTACATAGGTTCATAGTAAATATTAATTGTAAATATTGTTTTCTATTTATCTCAACTTAATGCATATTATTATCTATTTTACAGATGACTCAACTTCTAAATGGGACGATTAAGCCTGGGGATGAAGATTTAACAAATTTAAATTTTGAAGATTTAGATAAACTAAATGCAAATTCTAATCAAAGTGAGGTTGAGCTGGCAATCAAAAAATACTCGTCAAGGATGAACGCTTTTATTACGTCTATAAAGAAGAATCAAATAGATATGAAGAGTTCCTCTATACATTTTGATAAATTAAATGAAATGTTAAGAAGAGCATGGGCTGTACCAACTCATGGTCATGAACTTGGGTACTCGTTATGCAATGCGCTAAGGGTATCTGGTGGTTTAGATATTTTAATGGCAAATTGTTTAGAAGGTAACAACCCAGATTTACAATTTTCCTCTGCAAAACTACTTGAGCAATGTCTCACAACAGAAAACAGAGCTCATGTAGTGGAAAATGGGCTTGAGAAGGTCGTTAATGTGGCATGTGTTTGTACAAGGAATTCGAATTCAGTGGATCATGCAAGAATAGGTACTGGAATTTTGGAACACTTATTTAAACATAGTGAAAGCACTTGTAGTGACGTCATTAATTTGGGAGGTTTAGATGCCATATTATTCGAATGTAGGAAAAATGACGTAGATACACTGAGACATTGTGCAACCGCCCTTGCTAATCTTTCACTTTACGGTGGCGCTGAAAACCAAGAAGCCATGATAAAAAGAAAAGTACCCATGTGGCTATTTCCTTTAGCTTTCCACAATGACGATAATATCAAATATTATGCCTGTTTAGCAATTGCTGTTTTAGTAGCTAACAAAGAAATTGAAGCAGCTGTCCTTAAATCGGGCACCTTGGATTTAGTCGAACCATTTGTAACATCACACAACCCATCTGAATTTGCACGCTCAAATCTTGCACATGCCCATGGTCAAAGCAAAAATTGGTTACAAAGGCTTGTCCCTGTATTAAGTTCAAAGAGAGAAGAAGCCAGAAATCTAGCAGCTTTTCACTTTTGTATGGAGGCCGGTATAAAAAAACAACAAGGAAACACAGAGATATTCAGGGAAATAGGAGCTATAGAATCATTGAAGAAAGTTGCAAGTTGTCCCAATGCAGTAGCGTCTAAATATGCAGCGCAAGCATTACGGCTCATAGGCGAAGAAGTGCCACATAAATTATCACAGCAAGTTCCTCTATGGTCTATTGAAGATGTCCGAGAATGGGTAAAACAAATAGGGTTCTCTGAATATGCTAATAATTTTTATGAGAGTAGAGTCGATGGAGACCTATTATTACAAATAACAGAAGAAAATCTTAAAGAAGACATTGGTTTGCAAAATGGAATCAAACGGAAAAGGTACTTCATTTTAGCATTAAGTTTCCTTTCATTATTAGATTTAGAGATTATATAGATAGTATGTCCATACAAATGCTTCAAGGAAAGCGTGTCATTTTTTTCATAAAATAGTTAAGTGTGTTTCTTTTATATCTTTTATATTTATTTCGTTTTATAATTTTTGCATCTTTTTAATGCATAAAAACTGATTTTATTTATTAAATAATTAAATATAGTTACGTCAACATACATTGTGTTCGTAAGTACATAGAACATTAATAAAAAAAAACTAATCAGCTAATTTGACAAAAATTTGACCCGTTTTTGAGACTCAATGCTCTATCTTATATAATCTAAAATATTAACGTTACATGCTTCTATGTTTTTAGATTCACTCGAGAGCTACAACAATTAAAGAAAATGGCAGATTATACTTCGCGTGATACGGGAAGCCTAAATGACTTCCTTCAGACAATCGGTCCCGAGTATACTATATACACGTACTCCATGTTAAACGCTGGTGTCGACAAAGAGTCCATCCGCGGTCTTAGTGATGAACAACTTGAAAATGAATGTCGAATTGTCAACAGTATACATAGATTACGAATTTTGAATGCCATCAAAGGTAAACATCTATTAACTAACAATTTTCTCCATCATATAAATTGTAGTATAAAAACAAAAGATACTACTTTGCAATAGTTTATTTTAAATTGCCGACGTTTCGACGTGGATTGTGATTTACAAGATAGAGTGTAGCTGTGATAGTTCCTGAAAGGGTAGATACAAGATAGACTGTAACCACAACTACGGTATATCTTGTAAATAACAATCCACGTCGAAACGTCGGCAATAAAGAAGCAGGTGTGTAGGTACTATTTTTTTTTATACAACTTAGAATGGCAAGCAAGCTGACGGCCCACCTGATGGAAAGTGGTAACCATCGCCTATAGACATGAGCAGTACCATGGACATAACATAGTATACTGTTTCGCCCATTATACCCCCCCATACGTTGCCATTCTTGAGGACTCAGATGTTATTCCTCCGTACCCAGTAAATTCACGCCATATCCCATCCTTCAAACCGAAACACAGCCATGCCAACATAACTGCTTCACGGTAGAAACACGAATGGGACAGAGGTACCCAAGCATTCGACTTTGTACTATTTACCTGTAAAAGTTTTTTCGTCGCGTTAAGTCCCAATTGTTTATTTAAAAGATACGAGGATTTTAAATTGCATTTAACCATCCAATTCGAAAAAATAAATTTTAATATTCATCTAATATATGTATATAAAAAGTATTTATCTTTTTACAGTTTATGAAAGTTCACTTCCTAGTAAAGGAGAAGAGAACATGGAGAAGAACCTAGATGTGTTTGTAAGTTACCGAAGATCTAATGGATCGCAACTGGCTAGTTTACTGAAAGTCCATCTCCAGCTGCGAGGTTTTACAGTATTTATAGACGTGGAAAGATTAGAAGCCGGCAAATTTGACAATAACCTGTTACAAAGTATACGGCAAGCAAAACATTTCTTATTGGTCCTTACGCCAAACGCACTTGATAGATGCAAGGACGATACAGAGCAAAAAGATTGGGTTCATCGGGTAAGAATTATTTTTTATTTATAAAAACACATATTTGAAAACCTCAACCTTTTATCTGATTCATATGACGCTTCAAAGCATCGAACATCAACAAACTTATAATCCTTACTATTATCCTGTAAAAAAAAACTATTTTAAATGTGAAAGTATGATTTAGAATTCACTTAGTATTTGCCATAGATAACTTTTTATCTAGATCAAGATTTTTATCTAGATGTGAGTACAACTAATACCTACTCGTATTATGATTTGACAAAACATTTATTGACCACAAGTTCTTGCTTTTTTTTTAATGGGTGATAATGGAATGGTAACCGCACCCGCTCTATTGGTATACACCGGTGGGGCACCAGTGAGGGATGATAGATAAGGATGAAACAGGTCAGTTAGCCCATCGTGATGAACTCAACAAGAATTGTTCACGATGGTTTCCAGGGGGAACCACATGGTGGTCGACTTGATAGGGTATATTGCTAGCAATGTCGAACTTCATTGCTGAATATTCCTTTCCCCCCACAATTTCTTGCTTGCACATATTAAATTGAAATTGATTAATATTGATCAAATGTTCGGGTTGGCTTATTTAAACCTCTTCAGAATATTACATAGTAACAATTACTGTTTCCAGGAGATAGTGGCAGCGTTGCAATCACAGTGCAATATTGTACCAATTATCGACAATTTTGAATGGCCAAATGCGGAGGAACTTCCAGAAGACATGCGTGCGGTTTGTCATTTCAACGGAGTACGATGGATACACGACTACCAAGATGCATGTGTAGAGAAACTAGAAAGGTACTTTATCAAATATTTAATACTGTTTATTAATTCATCTTTATTTATTTTCTAGAAGTTATGCACATTAAATTTATTTCAAATTCCTATTTATTATTATTCTTTCAGCTTTCTACGCGGAAAATCAAATCTCGCGAATCGTCTTGAGGGATCTTTACGAGGACGTGAAGTTCAAACACCAGGCACAGCCGCCATAGGCCGGGGACCGCCCAACTACCAGCGTATGACCTCTTGCGAGAGTCGGGGCAGCGACAAAACGGATTGACTAGAGCCGCCCATACACACACTGCCGCCTGTTAGGTAAATTATTTTTATTACAAATCCACTTAATTTTCAGATATTGGCACAGATTTCTCTTATTTCTTAACCTTCAATTTTAATTTGATAATTTTATGAAATTATTATTATATGAAAAAAAAAGTAAAAAGAAAAGACTGAGGAACAACTACATGGGACAGATAAAGAAAACACTAGGTGTCATGTTGTATAGGGAGATTAAAGTAATGGCCTGAAATAAAGCTGGCTGGCTGGAAGAAAATGCATGAATTACTTGCATCGACAACGGGAATCTCTTAAATAAAAAAAGACTGTTTTATGGGTCATCATAAACTAAAATTATAATAATTTTAACGTAAACCTATTAGAAAGTTAGTTCATATTGGTCCTTACAATAAAGATATTGCTGTGATACTAAATTGAAGTTTAATTGTAAAGATAGGTTTAGTGAAATGGCACTACAGAATGTAGCACACTAAATAATTTGAATTCTATTCCGAATTACGAAAGGAATAGTGTACAAAAGACGTCTGTGATCTGCATGGAAATCTCTATTCTGCTCGTGTTTCTGCCGCAAAGTAGCAAGCTTGTATTGCTATTTTGTTTTGAAAGATGAAATATGGCAGTAAAATTACACCTCATAATAATACTTTAGTCCTCAGGCAAGGCAAATGAAGTTACCGTAGATGGTACACTATTTTCTATGATGTCCATGGAACTATTTATGTCTTTCGACACATAACTCATATAAACTTCGGCAAGGAATTCGTTATAAAATGAACTCCCTGCAGAAGACAGCTCTTTATTGTCGCTACAATAAATTATTGTTTATATTTTCGGTTCTACTAAATTTTAGTTATTAGGTAAATGCAGTTTTATTATTTAAAAATTAACTAATTATATGTACTTTCTCAATTCCGTTTTTTTTCTACCCCGTACCTTACCGTATTTGTTCTGTTAACAGACCACGACGAAGCCGTCAGTCATCACTAGAAAAAGCTTTACCAGCAACATCACAAAGTTGTGACCAACTTTCTAGTTATAGTAACGCATCAATAACCACATCACCAGAAAAATCGCTATACAGCCTACCTGAAAGACTATCGGAAAGTAGTGACAATATAGACACTAATGAAATGGATAAAACTTCACGTAGGTGCCGTAGCTGCGAGGGCATATTAGATGCAGACGAACAGACGCACACGCAACTTTCTTTGCCTACGCCTTTAGACGCCGCCACGCAGACTAAGCGAAAGAAGAATTTCATGGACAGATGTGTTAATAAAGTGAGACTGTGCTGATGAACGGTGTTAGACATGCGGAAATATGTTACTGCAGAGTGTGTATGGAACACGACTGCCTTATTGGACTTTTATCGAATATTTAATCGAATATTTATGTAAATTTTAATTTTAAAGTACAAAAATACGCACAATGTGTAAATATTTTGTTTATGCCATTATAAATTAAGTTAGCTTGAACACAGCAATGTTTTACATATTGGTACATAATTAAAAAGATGTAATCTCAGTGTTGAGTGCATGCAAGAAATCTGTGACGAAGTAACCTTGAACTGGGTAAATAATTGCCACCCTGCTGTGTTTTAAGAACATCGCACGAGGTGGTAATGTCAGAAATGCCACTTTATTATATAGTACAGCAAACTGCTTACAATTCTTGACTTAAATGTTTTATTTATCTCTCTATCTCTTCACTCTCTATGTATAGAATTTACATAATGAACTTATGGATGTATTTTTTTGTTTTAATATCTTGCCAATGAAGTATTTTTAAATACAGAAACTATACGAAATTATAATTTGAATATTGTGATAGCTTAGATCTTTTATGTTGTATAAACTATTTGCAAAAAATGAAATTTAAATATAATGGAAATGTCGCTAGTACCTAATTTATTTTTTCATCAATATTGAACACAATTTGTACCTTTTTAAATTGTATAATATTTTACCCTTAGGTTATTCTTTAATTATTTAATGTAGTCATTCACTTTTAAGAGTAACCACAATATTTACTCAGGAAAATATATAAATACTTATATTTATGTACTAGCTAGCTCTAACTGCAAAATAAATGGTATCATTAAACTGACATGTATTTTATTTTCGACAGTTCACATATATTTGATACACATATATAAACATATATATAAAACAATCTTTTATTTGTTAAATTTACACCGATGTGTGAATTATGAACTAAAAATGGGAAAGCCTGTACAATCAGAATAATTTTTGTATAAAAAAAAAACTTATTACCTATACTAAAAACTTGTGTAGTTAACTACGTAACTTTTTTTTTATACAACTTAGAATGGCAAACAACCTGATGGCAAGTGGTAACCGTCGCCTATAGACATGAGCAGTACCATGGACATAACAGAGTATACTGTTTCGCCCATGATACCCCCATGCGTTGCCCTTCCTGAGAACTCAGGTGTTATTCCTCTGTCCCAGTAAATTTACGCCATATCCCATCCTTCAAACCGAAACACAGCCATGCAAACAACTGCTTCATGGTTGAAACACGAATGGGACAGAGGTACCCAAGCAATCGACTTTTGTACAAAGTCTCCCTCTGGTAAAAAAGTAAAAACAGCCTCATATAGTATGTGAAAAAGATTGCCGTTTCTATAGATTTTAACCATATATTAGATTGAAAAATATAACCGTCTGATAAAACTCAACCCACCCCACCTAGTAGCCTCTTACGACACCAACTGGGAAAGAAAGGGTGGCCTTTTCTATGCCGGACCACACAGCAATATATAAGTAATATTAAAACATAAATAAGCAATATAGATGTATATGGAGAAACTAGAATTCGTGAAGTTAAAAACAAAAAGGTTGATCAGAAAATAACAACAAAATAAAAATGTTATATTGACTACATAATCATCACATTATCAACATATCTGCTATTAACTGTCCACCACTGAACATAGGTCTTCATATGGGGGATTTTGTCAATAGTAGCCATGCTTGATAGGTGATGTCTTAAGAGGGACGCTACAGCCCATCCTTGGATCATTAAGTTCCTTAATCACCTCTTATGACACACATGTAAAAATAAGTGATAGCCCATTGTATGCCAGCACCACAAGGAGGTTAACTACATAATGTACTGAATTACTATTTAATAAGAATAAGAAATATGAAGTTTGTAAGGCTAATAAATTTAACACCGGCAGCACACCTGCAATGCCGCTGGTGTTGTGGGTGATCATGGGCGGCGGTAGTCACTTACCATCAGGTGAGCCGCATGCTCGTTTGCCCCCTGTGTTGTAAAAAAAAAAAAAAAAAACTTCAAAATCACACAAAAAAGATACTGTAAATAATAGTAAAAAAGTATCAAATAAATAATTGTAAATATAAATAAAAGATCAGAAAAATAAAAAAAAAGTATAACATACATTTTTAAATTAAATCCCAGACCACAAATAAGATGAAGACTTACTAAACACACTTTTTAATGATCAGCCTCTGTAAGATAGTAGGTATGTATTGTATATATAAATATATTTCTGACAATAGATACTATACTAGTGTACAATATACATTTATTCTCAATATTTATATAGTTATATATAAATATCCGTTTAATAGAGATGTCATTAAACTATACATTAACCCATTCAATACGGAGAGCGCGCCAGGGCGCTCTCCAATGTTATACCTTGTGACGGCAAGCGCCTCGAGGCGCTCTCCCCACCCTTACCCAATGACAGAGAGCGCTCCGAGGCGCTCAGTTTCCTTTAGTTTCAAACGTGCTTTAGACCGTTCCAGACACTTGTGGAAGCCCGTTATTTACTGGTAGTCACTCCTAACAATTAACTAAGCCATATACGTAGAAAAAGTTGTGCCGTCAGTGACGGCCATTTATGCAAAACTAAGCCGTATACTGCATAGGGATCTCAATATGGCCGCCGTATTGAATGGGTTAAATACTTCTCGAGATAGTGACAAACACAGGAACACCATAAAAATAATTATGAAAATAAAATGGGATAAAAATAACAATATTAACAAAGTAATATTTAATAACAATACTACAAATATAACAATATTATACAACTTATATATAATTTATTAAATAACCTTCAGGTAGTTTATTATACACACCATTTTATTATACCACATTGACTTGTATAGAGAATGAGCATTCATTACAACCTATAACAATACAGGGTAGCGAAGAATCACAGTTTTCTAGCAAATATGTACCACCACATCTACAACTGTAGGTGTAAATACTCTGTTCAGAATTAAATTCCATTTGGGACAGTGTTATTGTGTCATACAATAACAGATCACTATGTTCTATACATGAAAGCTCAGCATCATACTGTTTTCGGCTATCAGGATCTCTTAACACAGCCCATGCTTTCTGTACTTGAAGGAATGTTTCATTGTCACTGCACTGAGAGTTGTTTTTGTCAGGATGCAATTGCAAAATAAGCCTCTGATAACTTCTTTTCAACTCATCTATGGAAGCAGTCCTATTGCATTCTAAAACCATATAATAATCTGTGAACTCCTCATTTCCATCCATAATTTACTTTACAGGAGGAAGTAAATGCCTCTAGATGGGTATATAAAGTAAAAGTAAATTATATCTTAAGATAGAACTTTTCTTATTGAATGATATTAAATTCACTTTTGTTCTTAGTTTCCAACTTAAGTTTTTCAGTAAATTATTTAGGAAGAGGCACAAATATAAATGAAACAAAATAATAAATTTATGCAACCACCTTGAAATATCAATATAAATAAATGGAAAAAACCGAATAGTCAAGATTGTTTTGGCTTTTTTTGTTTTTGTTGGCTTTTTTTATTGTTGCTCTTATTAACACTCTCTCTTAAATTATTTTATTATTATATTAGCCGTTAATTGTCCACTGCTGAACATAGGCCTTCTCCATTGCTAGTAATTGTCATGCTTAACAGGCGGATTAGCAACTGCTTTACTGATGTTTCGAGAGGGACGCCACTGCTCATCCCTCGACAATCAAGTCGATCCACTGATGTATTTTTTTTAATATCACCTATATCTGTATGTCTGTGCTGTTTATTTACTATCCTAATTATATATTAAATTATATTTAAGAAAATTTAAATTTAATAAACTGGTTGCATAAAATTAACATAAAAATATTTTGTTTAAAGTGACGCAGACATTGTCATTTACTTGCATTAATTTCCTGTCAATTAGGGATGTACATATTTGAAAAACATTGATGTTGACATTACTGTCACAATCGAGAATTCAACATCAATGTTCGATATTCAACAAAATAATTATTATTAAATAAAACACGTAATTTGTTTCGTACGCTGCATTGGTCGTGCGTGAAGACATGAGTAACATCAATTATCGATTCTATTATCATCGATGTTACGATATTTTTCATATAGCAACATCGATGTTTTTTCTTTCAACATCAATGATCATCGAACATTGATGATCTTCGAACATATCTACTGTCAATGTCATTATATCTAATCTAAAAACAAGGAATTACAGAGAAGGAATGATAAAATAAAATCTATGAATCATATGATTTACTCCTTTCTTCTTATGCAAATATAATTAGTAAAAAGAGAACGAAAGATACACCATCAGTAGTTATTTTTATATATTATATATTTTATATGTTAATTCATAGCAGGCTAGTGTATAGAAAATAAGACCGTATACCCTTACCAAATTCAGATACAACCTGCTTACATAGTTTCCACCTAAACTATATCGAATATATTGTCTAGTAATGTAAAATTTATCATTGACAAGCAATTATTATATTTTCTATATACTAACCTGCTATGAATTGAGAAAAAAAACAACTGATGGTATATCTTTCTTCCTCTTTTAACTCATTATATTTGCATAAGAAGAAAGGAGGCGACCATATGATTTATAGTTTTTATTTTATCATTCCTTCTATGTAATTTTTTGTTCTTAGGTTGTTCCACTAGCTTCTCTCACAGGCATCATTATTTATTAATGACACTTAATAATATTAAATTTATCTTTTGTTTTTATTGTAATCATTAGTCAGAGTTAGGTTTTTAATCGTATAGATGTTTTTATAAATATATATATTTAATAAAAAATTATATGTCCAATATCGAATCAATCCGAAAAGTCGAGTAAATTCGTTACATGGAACAGTCTTTCTAATCTGTGCTCTGACATCGAAATCAAGTGAATGTTCATAACATAACCTATTTTATTAGTATTTATAAAAATAATAAATTATATATAATAAATTTATACTATACCATTAAATTATAATTTGTTCGGTGTTAAAACAATTACTAATTTATTAAATAACATCTTTATTTAGTTCATAACTATTATTCACCGTTTGCTTCGTTTACTCACATCTTCCGGCATCTCGTTCGTGGCGCGCTCCCTTAATATTTATTTTCTGTAAAGGTAGTTAATAACTATAAGCACCTTTAATATTTTTACAGTAGTTAAAAGGGATGAATAAAACTTTAGTGCAAAATTGTCTGTGAGCTGTGCTGTGCATATTAGGATCATTTTTTGTATTTTAGTTTCTTTCATTGCTTGCAATGCCTACTTGGAATCAAATTCAATCCCAACTCAGGAATCCTAATAATCCTGTTGTATTTTTCGATATCACTGTTGGAACAACGGTAAGAATTTGGTATACATAGACTTATAGTTAATACCGTATCAAGTGCAACATTTATATATTATTCTATACCTGAATGTGGAATATATAAAAAACAGATTTTATTTAAATATCTTTCAAGAGAATAAGGGTACTTAAAATTATCAGTAGATTTTATATTTCATTACAGGAAATAGGACGTATGATATTTGAATTATTTGCTGATGTAGTACCAAAGACAAGTGAGAATTTTAGAGAATTCTGTACAGGTGAATACAGAAGAGATGGAGTACCACTAGGATATAAAGGAGCCACGTTCCATAGAGTTATTAAGGATTTCATGATACAAGGTGGTGATTTTGTCAATGTAAGTGTCATAAGAATTAGTATCACTATATTAAAATATTTCAAGTGAAAAAGTACCTACTTAATTAGATGAGTTACTTAACAAATTTAATTTTATTGAATGTCTATTAATTTGTTTCCAAAATTTTAAGAAGTAGATTTTGGCCCACAATTGTGGTCAAAAATTAGTTCTTTTAATTTAAAAATCAAACTACTGAATGAATCTGAAAATATATTCTTTTACATAAAAAAATATTTATAATTGGTTTATGTATATTATATATGATATCATATTATTTTACATTATGTAATCCTTTTTTTATAATATAATAACCATAATAAATTTTGTTTCAATAAATTCTTATTTGTATCAGGGTGATGGTACTGGATTGATGAGCATCTATGGCGGAAGCACATTTGCAGATGAAAATTTTGCATTGAAACATGATTCACCGGGATTACTCTCAATGGCCAACAGTGGCAAAGATACCAATGGTTGTCAATTCTTCATAACATGTGCTAAGTGCAACTTCTTAGATAATAAGCATGTAGTATTTGGAAGAGTCATTGATGGTTTATTAGTGATGAGAAAGATTGAAAATGTACCTACTGGTCCTAACAACAAACCAAAAATACCTGTAACCATATCACAATGTGGCCAAATGTGAATAAAACAGAAATTTCAAACTTAGTTTTATTTTTTTCAAACTTAACAAAAATAGCTCAAGTTTAGGATTTATAGTGACAAATATATATTATAGAATGTTTACAATAAATAAACATTATTTATCTATATTGGTAACACTGGACTAACATCTCTAAAACACTTTACTGTCAACATTTCAGAGCATGATTTTCATTATTATCATATTTCTGGGTTCACTGGACTATCATCTATAAAACACTTACTGTCAACTTTTCAGATCATGATTATTATTTATGAGCATATTCCTGGGTTCCATAGTAGGTGGTCCATTCCTTCTTCTAGCTTCTTTTATAAAAGCTCCTTCCATTTGTCGGGCAACTTGATCAAAGAATAAATTTGACAACTGAGAATGAAAAGCTGATTTAAATTCAAATGTTATTTGGAAATCAACTACACATGACTGTTGCTCTCTCTTCAGGCCTGGACTGAATCTCCAGAGAGTAAGCATATGATGAAATAGTTTTCCATCTAAGCACTCTGCTTTAACAACATGAGGCTTAATAAGTGTTACATTTGAAGTATAACTCTCATTTATGGGTGGGAATCCAACAATAAGATCAGCTTTAAGGAAATCTGGTGTTTTCTTCAGTACAATTGATTTTTTACACCATGGCACAAATTTGTAATAATTTTCTACATCGGACACTACTTCAAACATTTGTTCCATTGTATATCTGTAAACAAAAATAGCATTATTCCATATAGATATTATATTTCTTAATAATTAAATTAAGCCTTAATGTTGTTTAAAGCATATAAATGTATAGAAGAGACTAATTTCAATACCCTAAGACATGTATACTTAATAAATAACTAGCGACTCTGCCTGACTCGGCTTTGCACATGTGGATATAATTTTAAAAAATAATATACATATAATCTATGTTACTTGCTTATAATGTAACTTTCTATAGATTTATAAAATTTGTTGAGTTATTTTTGAGCTTATCCATTACAAACAAATAATCAAATCTTTCATCTTTATATTTAATAAGAATAACTATATATACTAGTATAAATAAAATTGTGGAGCCCATTTTTACATAGTACCTGAATATGGATAATGCAGAATTCAAGCATATTTTTTCTATTTAACCACCCATAGAGACTATTAAGTTTTAATAAAATTTTTAATAATTTAAGATTTGGGTATGATTAATAAGTGAAATATAGATAAATTTTAGATAATTATGAATAATTTCAGTATATACGTAAGAATATTTTTATACATTATGATAAAACATAAATTATTATTTGGTATATTAGTATTTTAATGTTAACTTTCTATCAAGACAAAAGTGTATTTCAACATCAGAAAATAAATTGTAAATCCTAATATCCATATTTATGAGGATTAACATAATAACACATTAATGTATTCCTATCCTTTCTTATTCACTGAACTAAGATAATTTATCCGTAAACAATTATGTAAATGAATGAATGAAATCTTCTATTTTTTTTTTCACCTCAGATCTTTTATAGGACAGGCAGGGAAGAATTGCCAATTGTGTTTACATCTAGGTCTACTTGAGAAATATGATTTTTTCATAGCAATTCCATATCTAAAGCATGTTAACAATAAAGAGGGATTCTCCTTAATTCACACAGTAATAGGAGATAACAGGCCCAGGAAGGTAACGGGAACGAAAATTATTAAAGTTTTAGGATAATAAATCTTAAAAAAGCCATAGATACATACATGAAAAATAATTTTACATTTTAACTTCTCTTAATATAAAATTGATGATTATCATTTTTAAATATATTGCAGTGCTCTAGAATCCAGTTTCAATATTCTTCTTAGTAATTTAAATATATATCTATGTTTAACAAACATTAAAAATAAAGGGTCTCTAATTTGACTATTTAAATGATAATATTACATTATTTTAAATCAAAAAGATTTAGTTGGTCTCACATAAATTTTGTGAAGATTGTTACAATATTATGTATTTTATTTTAGAAAAATTACAATTATCTGATACTGTTTATGTATAATTCAATCTTAATTCTATATAAACATTACTTACCCTACCAATTGTCTTCCACAATATTCCCTTGTGCGGACAGGCTTTGGAATGTTGATAAATTTTCTCCTTTGTAGGTATACTTGACATTGATTATAAATAACTTCTCCGTTTCTATTTATGTAATGACCCTGAAAACTTCAGGAAGAACTAATTCAATACGCGGCAGGTTTTTATGTAAGACTCAATTTAGATCAAATTTTTAAGGCATGGAAAGTATTTAGAAATTAAAATTACTTACCTGGAAACACCTGGTTTTGAAAATAGAATTTTAGGAACAATTGAAGTCCAATTTTTTGATAAGACCATTATGTTGATTTTTTATTATCTAAATATTTAACTAAATTTATCATAATTGTAGAAGTAAGTTCACGAAATGAGTAAAACCATAATTTGATGAAGTTATTAAGTTTCCTCACTACACATTTATAAAACTTCACACCTTGGAAACCAATTCTAAATTTCTTAACTCTAATTATCTGATCTGTAATTCAGACTGAATGAGTTGTTAAAGCTGAAGTAATGTAAAGAAAATATCTTTAACACTGACATTTGACATTTCAATTTGATGGTAGTATGCCATAGATTAAGAATAGTCTATTCATTAATTCATGTTGTTTCTGTTTATATACAAAAAAATTATAACAGCCGTGTCTGAGTGACAAACTAAGAACAAAATGCATTTGTATAAATTCTATTCAATCAGTTTATTGAATTAGAAAATTTTACACTGTGAAGTAACTATCGTTAAGTCTTTATCCAACCTATCAATATATATATTTTAAATAGAGGCACTATAAATATAAAGCAATAAATATATAATATGAATACGTATTTGTTCATTTTATTATTTTAACTTTAATATTGTGTTGCATCTAGGTTGCATAGAATTATTAATCTGTTTTTTTTCCGATATAACGACATAAAAGCAGCAGGCAGTGCCGTCTCTTTAAAATAAGTGACTAGTGATAGTGGTTAAAGTATTGAGCATTGACTATTTCTGCCTAAAGAAACACGTGTTGTTGAATACAATTGTCAATTTTAAGAACCGCGTTGTCTGATTTATATTAAAAAATATATTTTCATTAGTAAGTTAAAAATGGGACGGAAAGCAAAATTCGATGAAACAAAAAAAGTGAAAAAAGGTCCAGGTAGAAAGGCAAGGAAACAACAAGATCCTATTTTTAAAAAGGAGTTATGTGAGTAAAGCATTGGTTTACTAGTTTATTCATATTTTTGTATAATTTTATGATTTATTGTGCATAATTGAATGTCTTGAACTGCAGTTTCGGCTTCTTTGATATATCATCCAATACGTAATAAAGAAGTTAGAAAACAAGTAAATTTTTTCCCCTAAATTAACCACATCTCAATATCGTGTGTACAAAACATATATTAAAATACATTTATATATCCATACTAACTTCTCCATTTAAATTGGCGCCTATACATCTTTGTATTTTAATCTTTACCTAATACTAGATTATTTTATAACTCTATGTTTTTTGCAGTTTTGCTTATGTGAATCAGTATATAAAGTATACTAAGAGTTAAGTTAGGGCTATATTTATCAAATTTTTCATTTTTTCCTCATTTTTTTCATTCACATTTGTAACTTTCAATTACGTCAGTTGTTTAAGCATGATTGGGAAACTACATCTTTGTAAATTTTCACATTTATAACATTAGTAGTATTGTATTAATTTAATATTTTAACTATAGTGGAAAATGATGAGACTAAGAAGCTCAGTCACAGACAGAAACAGCGAGCAGCAAGGAGAGCCAAAAAGAAAGCAGAGTTAACCGAGAAGAGAAAAGCATTGAAGCAAGCTAAAAAAAATGTTGCTAAACAAAATGAGGTGGTACTCAAAGAAGCTTCTGATGATGAGTCTGGTGATGAAAACATTCAAGGTATCAATTATTATTCTATGTAGATTATCTTTTTTGTTTTGTGCTTTCAGTAAGCTATTTTTGAAGTTAAACTACCTAATGTGTAAATCATATTTAAGTTATATAAATGGAGATGCTCACATAGGCTGTTCACCCCATTTGATCATCTTTGTGGTGGTTGTGGTCGATTTTCATTATTTAGTGATTAGTTTTAATAGAAATACCACCTCAAGTTAAGATTTTTGATGTGATCTTTTTATAAATGGATTTCTTTATAATATTTCTTTTATTTTTAAATAAAGTGACTAGAGGTTAAGTACAGAAAATAGTGTACATTTACATTTATTTAAGATACTGTAGATATTTATTCTTTTCTTACTTATAGGTTTTACTGATGACAACAAAGAATGGCTAAAACCAAAACAGAAAATTAAAAATAATGTAAAAGAGATGAGTGACCAAGACAGTGATAGTGGACATGATGAAGGATCTGGTAGTGACAATGATGAAGACTTACCTAAAACTGGTTCTAGTCCTGAAAAATATAAAGTAAGGGAAATCTATTTTAACTAATTATAACATTTAAAAATGTACTAAAATCCAAATACATTGTGAGGCAACATAATGTTAGGGTCTAATCTGGAAAAATAAAGTAATTTTTTTGTTATCTTATAGCCTTTATGAATTTAACTAATCATTATGAAATTTGGTATACACATATTATATAGGATGGAGAAGGATATGTCTATTTTTTTTATTATATATATATATATATATATATATATATATATATATATATATATATATATATATATATATATATATATATATATATATATATATATCTTGTTCACATAGACGAATTCATAGGTAAATCAATAATATTTAACAAAAGTAAATGTGATGAACTCAGTTTTACACCATGTAGAAAAAAATTAAAAAAATTATTAAATATTGCCTGCTTTTGATTTTAAATGTCATTCATGTGCTGTAATCAGAATTATTAATTAGAATCTATATAGAATGGGTATATAACCTATGGATTTTTAAATTTTAGGTTGGAACTTTAGATGATTTGTTTCAAGATTCTGATATGGAGAATGGTGATGTAACATCAGAGGATGAGGGTGCAGATAGTTCTCTTAAGATGTCATATAATTCTGACTCAGATGAAGAAGAAGGTAAAAGTGACGAGGATGATGATGATGGTGATGATGACATGTTACCTATAGAAAAAGCAAATATTAAACTGAAAAAGAAGCAAAAATTGGAGAAAAAGCTTGCAGATGATGAAATGCAACTCAATATTTCCAAACAGGATGTATTTGCATTTCCCACTGAAGAGGAATTACAAAACCCCACAAGCCTTCAAGATGTGCATCAAAGAATTAAAGATGTTGTTACTGTTCTAAGTGACTTCAATCGCTTGAAACAAGAAGGAAGATCCCGCTGTGAATATACAGATTTACTTCTAAAAGATTTATGCATGTATTATAGCTATAATGAATTTCTAATGGAAGTTTTAATGCAAATATTTCCTGTTCAAGAATTGGTAGAGTTCTTGGAAGCTAGTGAAGTTGCCAGACCTGTAACCATTAGAACAAATAGTCTTAAAACCAGGCGGCGCGATTTAGCTCAAGCCCTTATTAATAGAGGTGTCAACTTGGATCCAGTTGGAAAATGGAGCAAAGTCGGTCTTGTTGTGTATAGCTCCACAGTACCAATTGGGGCTACTCCTGAATATTTAGCTGGTCACTATATTCTCCAAGGAGCATCAAGTTTTTTGCCTGTTATGGCATTAGCACCTCAAGAAAATGAAAGGATATTAGATATGTGTGCTGCACCAGGAGGAAAAGCATCACATATAGCTGCAATCATGAAAAATACTGGTGCATTATTTGCAAATGATGCAAATAAAGAAAGAACTAAAGCTATTGTTGGTAATTTTCATAGATTGGGAGTTGTTAATGCTGTAATTTGTAATTATGATGGCCGTCAGTTTCCTGATGTGATCAAGGGATTTGACAGGGTTTTATTAGATGCACCTTGTACAGGCACAGGTGTTATTGCAAAGGATCCTAGTGTTAAGACAACAAAGGATCAAAAAGACATTCAAAGATGTTTTAATTTACAAAGACAGCTACTTTTAGCTGCTATAGACTGCTGTAATGCTAAATCAAGTACAGGCGGTTATATTGTCTATTCAACATGTTCAATACTGCCTGAAGAGAATGAATGGGTGATTAATTATGCTTTGAAAAGGAGAAATGTGAAGTTGGTTCCGACAGGTTTAGACTTTGGCACTGAAGGGTTTATGAAATATAGGCATCACCGGTTTCATCCATCTTTGAAGCTGACTAGGAGGTTTTATCCTCATACTCATAATATGGATGGATTCTTTGTAGCAAAACTTAAGAAGTTTTCTAATGTTATAGTAAGTCAAATCTATTTATTTTTAATACCTTTAACCATCTTTGCTATTAGCTGTCCACTACCGGACATAAGCCTTTCTCATAAGAGAAGTTTTGTTAGTAGTCGTCACATTTGGCAGGCAGGTTGGCAACCGCTGTTATGCTTTTAGAGATGTTTTAAGAGGGATGCTACTGCTCATCCCTCACCCTCATTTAGTTGCCTTTTACGACGCCCACGGGAAAGGAAAGGGTGGTCCATTCTATGCTGGGGCACACATGGTATAATATGTCATATTGCTGTTTTGTATGTCGTTACTACTTTTGGTATGAAAAAAATGGATGAAAAACTGGCTAATCTGCCAGCAGTAATACACTATTTGATTGATTTACAAATTTGAGTATACTATGAAAATATTTCTTTTTTGTTTAGCCTGAACCAGTCAAAGATGATGATGACGAAGAAGCCGAAACAACAGAAGTCTCAGGAGACCAACCAAATGGGAATGTTGAATCCGATGTTGATAGTCAACAGTCAGAAAAGAAAAGTGTAGGAGTGAAAAGACCTGCAACCTCTACTGAAACTGAGCCACAAAAGAAGAAAAATAAGGCTCCCACTCAGAAAAGGTGTGTAATATGGTTATGTTAATTCCACCTTGTTCAAATTCCCATGCCACTAAAGTTTAGTGAGTAAATGGACAACTAATTCATGAAACCATTAAGATTTAGGGAAATTATTGTAATAATTTAAATTAGATGAGAAAAAAAAAACCGTTAAATATAATCATCAATGCCGAAATAATTTGTAACTATGTATATAATTTAAACACAATTGTTAAGCATTACATTTATCCTTTACTGTAATAGTCACTTTGTCGATAGTTAAAGTTGTATAAATAATTATTTTTAAAACAACGAAACATCTAATTAGTCCTCAACTGTAAAAATAAATGAAGAAAGTAAACTTTTAAGTGACAAAACTTTAATTGAAAATTTTCAAGGAATGAAGTAGGCTTTGTAAATTTTCAAAATGAGTTCCATTTTCATGATATTGGATATAATGGAGCCTTTTATGAATTTGTTACAGTACGCCTACATCATCGACTGTGCCTACGGCAGTTTCATCTAATAATCAAATTAAAAAGAAGAAACGTAAAAACAAAAAGAATAAACCAAACGCAAATGACGGTAACAAAGTACCTCAAACTGAACAGGTTCAGATTGGCAGCATAAACGAAAAATCTGATATAAAGTCTCCAAATATAAACATTCAAGATAAAAATAACAAACAGAAAAATATTAATGATACAGGAAACAAAAATTCTACAGAAACAACTTTAAAGTCTCATACGCCACTAAATGATAAATTGTCAAACAATTCCACTGCATTAGTTGTAAATAAAAATGTATCATTAAATCCAAATCAGAAGAATAAAAATAAAAAGAATAAAAACAAGTCTTCAAATGGCAGTTCAAAAAGTGTAGCAGTAGTTAATAAAAATGAACTTAAAATAACAGAGAAGGTAGAAGTGAATGCGTCGAGAAAGTTAAAGAAAAAATTAAAGAAAAAGAATAAGCAGATTGGTCAAATAAGCGGGAAACAGGGAATTTCCAGACCAGAGGGTAAACAAAATGGCATAAATAAAAAAAATAAGAAAATTAAATCAAAGTGATTCAACTTCACTTTATTATTAATGCATAAGGATTATTTTATTAATGTTATTAAAATTATGTAACAACTACATGGACTTTTTTGTTATTTATTTGAATTATCCAATGTACACTACATTTAGTTATGTGTATATGAATAGATAGATAGATTGTACTCTTATGTATTTGCTCTCACCTGATGGAAAGTGGGAACCATACAGTTTCTGATAAATTACTAGAGGTTAGTTTTAGACCAATTTTATCATTTTTAATCTCAGACTTAGACTTATTAGACTTGTATATCTAAATAATACTTAATATGTGTATAGTATGACTTTTCTTAGAGCACAACTTCTAAAACGAAGTCTTATTGGTCTTTTTTTACGATTACCTTTCTCTAATATATATATATCTTTAAATCTATAGTTAATATAGAGTGTGTTCTTGTTTTGGTCTACTACACTTAAAATGAAACAAATGTGCCATTATAGTTCATGACATGATGCGCCATATCTTTTTTTTTAATTTAACTAAGACTAATTTTGTTAATAAGATTTAAAACATGTTAGTGTGGTATTTTTATTATTCATTACGATAAATGACATTTTTATATCACATCGTTTGATATGTTGCAACGTTCATTGACTTATTAGCTGCCCCATCTGCTCACAATCATATCCAGAATGCTGTTGGCGCTGTTCCCCACCTATACACCAGGAATGTGCACCTTTTGCGCATCGTTGTGTAGAAGCAATCCACTCGCACTTATGCAAATATCCTTGATGCACTACAAAATCAAGGCAACCACGGTAACAACCTGAACGCGTTGTTGTATTGTATTCTGAGGGTGTTGTAGACTTTTCAAGTATATCTAGCCTGTAAGCTGTACGTGTAAAATGACGAATAAAGGGCTTTAAAAATAGTAATTTTAATTTCTCTTTAGCAACGTGCGAACCTGCGGGCCAGCAAATTCATTCTCATCGACAACGTCCTGCATTCTCATTCATGTCATCATTGAGGTCGGGAGTTAACATATGACTGAGATATTTGAATTTGTATACTCTTTTGAGAACAATATTGAAGATAAGGGATTGGGAAAGTTGTCTCTTGATGATAACTACCTATGAAATACAATATTTGTCATATCACAATAATTTTCTGCAAAAAATGTAATAAAAAAGTAAAGTATTCGAAATCTTCTATAATTTTTTGTTATTCCTAGATATTTCACGAGATCCTTTCCATCCTCTTTTTTCTTTAATATATTATGAGTATATACTAGCATCTTTGTCCACGTGATTGGGATAAAAACGAAAATGGAATGATAACCCAGTCTGCGTTATCATTAAAGGTTGGTGCGGCACCAGTGAGTGATAATAGGTGAAAATGAACTCAAGTTAATCAGCCCATCGTGACAGATTCACCAGGAATTAACCATGGTAGTTTTAAGGGAACCGTTCCAGCTCAAAATATGTGAAATTTATTATCTGTTAAGTATGACTTATACTCGATAAGTGATCATCCATTATGAAAGGATTTCAATGGATTCGGCGCTTTTGTAGCGGTAGTTAAAACAGTTTCAGTATAGCATCTATGAAAAAGTCTCGGAATGCTGGAAATTATTTAAGTGATAATGTAAAATAATCATTAAATCTAGATTTCTGAATAATCAATACTTATTTAACTTCATCCCTCTTCTAATATTGTCACTCAATTTGACATTTAATTGTCACAAATGCGGCGAATGTTTAAATCTGTATGAGTGATTTTAATCCCTAGTTTTTTTATTGGATAAACATCCAATGGTTATTCTTTCTGGATAGTTGAATAATTATTTGAGGGGCATTAGTGAGACATGACAAAAGAGGTGAGGATGAAATTAACCACGATGGTTTCTAGGAGTAACATCATGGAAAGCAAATATGTGACATAACTTTAATAATTTTAAATACCAGTAAAATACTTCTATCTGTCAGAATAAGTAGTTTGATATCTTTGTACAGAAGTTCGTGTAATTATTTAGTGTGTCAGCTGTTAAATTATTGGGCGTGCAAGTTTTAAATAGAGATGCTTTTAGGTAGAGTTTGAAAGCAAAAGTGAAATAATTTTTACATTACACTGTTTTTTATGGTTCTATACCAAAACAGTATAAATAACGCGAATTTCCTCCGTTCGTTTGTTCATCATAGCGTTGTATTTCAACTACTACTGATACGTTTTGACAATATATTATTAATCCACACTCTAATTGCAAAATATATAACAAAATTTTTTTTCTATGCTCTTTCATATTTCAATGTTTTCTTTTTATATTGTTGCAAATTATTTTAGAAAATTTATATTTTGTTTAGTTTAAAAAACGCTCAGGTGAATGAGCTCCCTGTCGAGGTTTTTTTACGAGACTACAGTTAGGTTAGTTACTAGGTTCTTCAAAAAAGTGGTAAGGTTTCATCTGGGTCAGCAACGCACGCATAATGCCCCTGGTATTGCGTTCATAGGCTACCGTAACCGCTTACCATCAGGTGAGCCGTATGCTTGTTTGTCTTGTTTGCTTGTTAATGGTATAAAAAATGTTATAAATAAATAGATACTGTTTATTGTTTCCTCCATAAGATTACAATAGTAAACTTATTATAAATACAAACAATTACAAGAAAATATTAAAAGAAAATCAACGGGCGGCCTAATCGCTAAAAGCGATCTCTTTTAGGCAACTTTTGGATGGGGAAGAGTAATTATAAACAGTTTGACTGAAGACGCAAAACTTTGTTAGTTTTTTAATATATATAGAGATACAATAATATGAATAAATAAATGTATATTTTAAGTTATTAATACATACTTAAATAAATCCATATATACATATAAATATACTAATATATAAACACATGTACATAGAAATACTTACATACGAATACATAAATATATAAGTAATAAAAAAAAATAATTTAAGCATGCTAGTCAGATACAATTTACGAATATGACAACTTGCTCAGATCCTTCATTTTTGTTTTAAAACTTTATATTTCAGTTAAAAAAAAGCAGAATAAAAGAACTTATTTGTTTATTGAAACACTGACACATTTTAGTGGTAAGTGGTAATCAGTAAGAACTTGTATACTACACACATGTAACTGATACAAAAGGTATAATATTTTGTAAATTTTGTATATTCATGAAATATTTAACCTATAATATTTAACTTTTGTTTGAAAAAACAATAGCTGAGTTTCTTGTCTATTTCTTTCAGCTTTTTTTTATACAAACCAGTATCATGGAAATAACAGAGTTTAACTTTGCCATTCCTGTTTGAAAAAACGCCATATCAAAACAAACACAGATGCAAACACAACTTTCACGGTTGAAACACGAATCGGACAGAGGTACCCAAGCAATCGACTTTTGTACAAAGTCTCCAAAATTGTATTGCTGAAATTGTATTCCGACTTGACCGGTAGAATCTTAAAAATTACTATTAAGAATGCTTAAAATTAAGTATGCTTGAATATTTGAATAAAAATAATTACTGTTCTTGTCTATCGGATTATAAAGAGCGGCGCGAGCAAGAATCACTTTGCGCTGGGATTATATTATCTTTGATATAATTCTTTGAACAATTATTAGGTAATTATGTAAATACCTTCTACAAAAAGCAATTTGAAAATTTAAAAAGTTACTCAACGTTAAAATTCTAATGGTGATTTTATTCTCTAGTTGTATATTTTCTGTTTAAGCGTACAATGGGTATTATTAAAAAAAATATATAGTAAATATTTGTGCAATATTAACTTTGCCTACCATATCCGTAAAACTAGGTACAGGAATGGATATAAGGGCTTTAAACTCCTTTGATATAGATGTAGAGACTAAAGACAAATATGTACATATATATTACATACCTAAACATAAAACAAGCATGCTAAGTATTTGTTTTGCTTAAACAAATACCTAGTAATACTTAGACCTACACAACTACATGCTAGATAGGAAAATCTATAATTTATAGTATTTGTTTATTTATACAAATTTTGTAATGAAATGCTTTTGGGCTTGCTTTTATCTAGCAAGTTACTTATTTATTGTAAAAAAGCAGTTTATACTATTCAGTTGATGCTACTTATGTTAATAAATATTTGGAACTAAATCACCACCATAGAGGAACGCATTGATTTCTCTTAAAGCTTGTATAAATACGCATACCAAATAGCAAACCTGGAAGCGAGCGAGCCCCCATTCACACGACCGAAAACATTTTCCCACGTAGGCCGCTGACGCTCGATCGTTTTGAGGATACACCATGGGGCTGGGAGCTTTCCCGTCCGGGGCGGCGACCGCTACGAGCGTAGCTCCTCGTTAATGAAAAGCGCGGACCGCGCAGCCCCTCGCCCCCCTCTCGGAAGCTGCCGCCAGTATCTCGCGGACCGCGCTGTCGACTCCACACGTCGGCCATACGTTCCACACATCAACCATCTAAACAGTACGTCGATAATACTAATATATCCTCTATAAAGTGCATGTCCTAAAATTGATATACGATTGTAGTGCTTGTTTCATACATAACATTGTGTTGCGGATGAGCTGACCGGATACGGGAACGGATAGCGGGATGGGCGGGACGCTTTGTTCGGGACGCAGGACGCGACGGAGGCTGTACCGCGCAGCATCCACTCGCCATGTTTTATATACCCGACGCGTATACAACGTTTCTACGTTTGAAATATAGCTTTTCTTCTTGCAACGTTTGGCGGTTGTTTTATCTTTATTTCTTGCTCATAGTAATCATTTTTATAATATTACTAGATGACCGGCGAACATTGTTTTGCTTCCTATTGCTATCTACCGTGCCCATTTTCCTTATAAGGATAAAAACCATTTTATCTCTCAAATGGAGGTATTTACAAAATTTCATTGAAATCGGTCGGTCGTTTATTAGAGAGCACGAACATCGTCACATGAGAATTCTATGCATTAAAATGTTACATTCATAGGTGTTTGTAAGTCAACATTATAATATTTCTATAAATCAACACGGGGCACTATTTAGGATATTTATACTACTTATACATAAGTAATAATATGTGTAACTGTATTACTGATTTATATTAAGATATAACCTGTCTTTGATATATTTGTAGAGTTGCAAGTTACGTGTCTATTTTTATTAATTTATGTAACACGTACTTAAAATAGTTTATGATTCTTACGAATAATATCGTAGTTTTATATATGTTAATTAAAAATAATTCCGGTGCATATTGCGCATATGAATATTTTATTGTGGTTTACTTATTACGATAGGTACGTCAAGTGAAAGTCCATCTTACTTCAGTAGGCATTTTTTAATGAGAGTAGGTATATTCGACATTATTATACCAATACAAAATCAGTCTGTATAATTAATGTGATATGTAAGTACTCATCTATTCATTTCCTGAAAGAAACAAAAGGAGTCTATACCACGTATTTCTATACTTTATAGGAATGTGGAGAATCGATAAAGATCTCTATATTCAAATGAATTTTTCATAATAAATAGCTGATTTATTGATTAAATACATTCAATTTATACTACATTACATCCTTGTAATTAGATGACCCTGCAAACTTTGTTTTGTTTTGTAATAGGCCATTTTTTTCTTATTTGTATAAAAACTATCATCGTATCGCTGAGGTTAGAGCAAACAATACACATTTTCAAAATTTCTTTAAAATCGGTTCAGCAGTTTCGGAGATTAGTGTGAATGAATATTTTGACGACAGATTTTGTAGGTATATTAATATATATTATATTTCATACAATATCTAATCATAATCAACATAATTATAATATTACATTATTATATATTAGTTTTACTTGCAATTTTGTCTGCGAGATCTGTGAATATGTGGAGTGAGTGACACGAAAGAAAAAGAACATATGTCCTTTTTAATCATAAACAACAAATACTATAAGTATGCCAAATTTCTTGGCAATTGGTTGAGTCGTCAAGACGTCAAGAAGTAACAAACAACGATTGTTAACGCTCCAAGAAGTAAAATGTCTGTTTTCTCTTGTTGCGTTATCAAATCGTCACGAACTTTGGCGTACATGTTTTATTATATTTAGAATAGGGAAGGACATAGGCTCCTTTTGTCTCAGCCAATCAACACATCCTGAGTACGCAGATGAAGTTTATAATACTAGACAGTAGTTTATATATATTATGTAGTATTTTTTATAATTTTCAATATAAACTCAAATAACCAGGTTCTGTCAAGATTAATATCGTACTGTTCAGGCGGGGTTAGAGCTGTCAATACACTCTGAAGTTATTACTCGTATATTCTGTGCGTTGTAGCATGATGCGGGTGACAGCTGACAATTTCTCATTGGTGCCCCGTCATGCCATCGTATACCAGGGAAGGAGAGTTGACATTCTATTTACATCCGTTAAAAAAACAGAGTTTGGTACAGCTTATTGTCGAAGAGTATTTCGTTATTAACATAGGTAGCTATATCTTGTTGTTTTTTCCATGTCAATTAAGAAATATTAAAAAAATATAAGTTAGAGTTAGTAATAAGTTATGTCACTCTAGGATATAGTCAATCTATGTATCAAATTTCATTTAAATTTTTGCAGTTCATTTATGATTTAATAACTATCGTTCAAACACATTCACATATAAAAAAAAATCATTTTTTTATACCACTGAGGTGGTAAACGAGCATACGGGCCACCCTATGGTAATCGGTTACCGTACCCTATGAACACCTGCAATACCAGGAACATTACGCAGGCGTTGTCGACCTTGAAAAAACCTTTTTTGAAGAAGCTATGTGCAGTCTTTTGAAAAAACCTCAAAAAATTTACACATATACATAAAAAAATATTGAATTTTATTGTGTGAAAATTTATATAAGATCTACGATACAATATATATAGTACAATATTGGCATATTTAGGATTATTTTTCAGGGGGTGGGGTGGGGCTGGCCCTTTGAAAAAGGAGCATAGCGTACTCTTGCTTATATTTTTGCGAAGCTTCTCTCGCATCACGGGGAGGGTATTGGATAATTCTGGAAGAGGCACGAGCCGCCCGCCCCGTTCCTTTTAATACATCTATAATAATAAATAGAACAGGAATCGAATCCTATTAATAATTATTAAAGGTTTTATAATTCAAAATTAGCGAAAAAAATTTAGAAGATTAAAAATCTCCTCCCTTTTTGAAGTCATGTTATGACGTTACTTATCAGATTAATTGAATTTACGTCGACTTTTTCATAATGTTAATGTCTTAATTTGTTACTTTGTTGTTACGTCGTTACCGTCCTTACTACTGTTAGTTGCGGTTTGGCAATATCGTTGTCAAAAAGGGAATTTTATTGGTCGTAGATAACAGTATTTGGAGCATCCAACGTGGTTTATTATGCGTTTAATTAAGCATAACCCGTGTTGACTTGATTACCTCATCGAACAATATTCGCGCATGTGTTCTAGTATATGTGGAGCGAGCGCTGAGGCGTAGGTAACCCTATTATGTGGTTGTAAGTGGATAACCCTGTTTATTACTATTTAAAATTTACTTGTATATTTTTGAAAAGGTCAATATGAATTAATTAAATTTCCCATTTTAATTTAGATGTAGATATTTAATAGAGTAGTAATTACGTATTGATAGGTATTTAGTTCACTCTGTAAAATATATTTTATATTCATTGCTTATTTTATATATGTATTAAATATAAATATTTCTGTTAATCATTGTTAGTTTATCCAACTTACCCACTAATTTTATCTTAAACAATTGTATCATTGGAAAAATTATACTGTGGCACGTTTTTAAAAAACAATTAAAACATACCTTTATAATATATATTCATATATACATGGTTGCAATTAATTATTATAATTATACGGATTATGGTGATTAAATAGATCTATTTTAGAAATGTAAACGCTACAGTACATAATATATATATATATATATATATATATATATATATATATATATATATATATATATATGTATATATATATATAATCTGATGATTACGTATAATATCTACTCAATTTAGAAAAACTGATACTTGACATCGAATTAATCACAATAACTAGCTATTTTTTATAATATTTTGGAAGGCTTGGATAAAGTTATAGAAAAAATATAGGGCCGGATAAATCGTGCATGCTGTGCTACGTAAATTATAAAAATACACTCAGTACGCGGTCAGTCAAATTCCATATTTTGAATATCTTCGGGAACTTTCACGTTTAAGTATTATTTAAACTTATAAAATTGAATTCGCAAACCACTTTGAAATTGCACTTTTCCAATATAGAATCCCGAATAAAATAATGTGATGCATGTCACGTAATACTTTCACACACGCGCGCGTCTCAGTACTTTCAATTGTAAGTAGCCATTTTATATTGAAAATATTGTTAGGTCCATTCGTCTGTCTTGTTCCGTCTTTATTTGAATTCTGTTCCAATACTCGCTGTTTGCAGTCAGATGCAATATGTCTGTTAAAAACAATTGGATGCAACCTGCATTTCAGATTAGTTAAGAGAGTCATCTCAAGATGTTATGTTATTTTTAACCAACTTCAAAAAAAGGCGGAGATTTTAGGTTCCATTGTATATTTATTTTTTTCATGTTATATTTTACATATTTCATGATTTTAAAAAATCTTTTTATATTCGAAAGAGTATACTTGTGAGTTGGTTCCATTATCACCAAGTTCGAATTTGGTGATGGTATCCCAGGGGAAATTAAGGGTAGCCTACAAATTTTATAGGCACATATATGGTGTTTCATATTTTTGATTTACACATACTAGTATAAAATTTTTATTCTGACTCATAGACTGATCTGTCAAGATCTGAAAGATGAAAATATCAATATAGGTTTTTTTTTATGTTGATGTATACCTGTATAGTAATTGTTGTTTATAGACTTCAACATTACCAATGAATATTATAGAATATAGAATATACTGTAAATAACTTCTTTTTGTTGATATCTTAATGTATATTGTATATTTATTCTATCTTTTTATTTATCATCAACTAGTCCATTGCGTGTATGGAGAAAACCTAATGCTAAATACATTTATTCTTAGATACATCTCTTGATTCTTGGACATAACTTGTATCTGATGTCTAAATACAATTACAAATCTTTATATTAATAATGACTAGAAAGTAATATCAAAATTGTTTACTAAATATTTCCGGTATGAAAAACAGACTATACGTTACTATTGTATACAAATTATACTTTAGTTCTAAACACCACGCTATCAAATCGCCTCACTGAGGTGCGAAAAGAAACGGAAAGATGAACTCATTTTTTAAATTTATAATTATTAACATATACACATCTTATATACCTTTTGTTCGGATTTGTGAATATCGAGAATGATGAAGTATTGTTAAATATATATGCGTATATTTTTGTATGATGTATAATTAATACTTTTCAAGCGAGTGA